CTCCCTCCAATGCTTCGTTCTCTTATAGAATAACAGTAGGCAATAAAGTCTCGGAGGATACACTGAAGGCGTGTGCTGAGCTCTTCAGCTCCAACTACGGTATTTGGGGTGATGAAGCAAGCAAAATTTCTAGTTTCACCAAAGCTGGTCAGTAATCAATATACATCCTTGGTCATTGCTGAGTCTTTTATATAGGGCAAAAGGTGAAGATGACCGGCGCAAGGCTTCGAGCCCAATGTTTGTCTCACCCAGAGAATACTGTCCTGGTGACCTGCCACCTCCAGGTTGATCCGTCTGAGAGTGAACGTCCCAAACTCTGTGGTCATGCGTTTGCTTCCATGTGGAATTATGGTGAAAACAAAAGTAGGTGTCGCACAACTTTCTCTCGCGAGGTTCACCTTCTGATTTTGTCTAAGTTGGCTGGGTGACTCAACTTGTTGTTGATGAAGCAGTCCGTCAGCGTTATGTTGCGACACAGCTCTTGCAAACACTCAAAGTCCATGCCCCATTCTCCCGCATCAACATTGTTGGTCTGGTCTCATCCCACCCTGCTGCTTGCAATGCTTTGGCGAAATATGCTGGTAAGTTGATGTTATCACTCATGGATTTCGGATAGCATAACTAACAACATGAAGCGGCTGATCTCAAAGATGTCGACTTGGACTTCATTCGTGCACATGCCAAGGGGATTCTGCAATCCTCCCCCATCAGTTATCTGAATGACGCTCAACTGAGGGGCACACTCTTTGAAGATGTCTGCCGCAATGGATCCATCTCGTCTGTGTTCACCCAGTTCTATGTTGACCATGCGGAGCCTTTGAGGGTGCTGTCGCATTACCAGAATAAAGGTCAATGGTGCTTGGGTGAGCTTGCTGATGGACATGAGTTTCTCGCTATTTTTCCTATCGTGCCTGTGAGCCCAATTTCGCCCATCCGATTACAAGCATCCTAGAACCTACTACTCATCATATCGGAGCATCAAAATTTAAATACCGCTGTGTATGTAGTAATTCTATTTTGGCCTAGCGTTATGCAAGCAGCTGTAAGGTACGGGTATAAGCCACTGCAGTACGTGGATTGCGAATTGAACAACATGTATTGGGTGGCTCAAATACTGCGGAATATACTTGTCTAAATTAATAGGGACCTCTTTCCGTGTTGGGCCACTAACGCCAGAGCTATCCGCTGACTAATCTACAAATCAGGTCCCCGCCTGAAGCCCAGTCAGAACTTGATCTGGTTGGACAAGTATGAATCTACGATAGCCTTAGTTACAAATATGTAATCATGGACAATAGGCCTGAAGGCCTGACACATGAACGACTGCGGTCCAATCCCTGATCTTCTTGGCAAAAATGTCCAGATTCGGTGCGAGCCAAGCAGTACTGATCCCAATTATCTCTCTGTGTTAAGTAACTTGGGGTGAATATGTCATCTCTAAGTAAACTTGTATAGTCGCACCAGAAGGTCCAGAACAAACATCGATCAGACCTCTAAATAAGTCGTAACCATCGTCCACCGTACTTGTCAAACAGCCGCTGAAAAAGATAATATCATGCGTATCCGAATGATTCGACATATAGGGTCACGCTCGGTCCTCCACTAAGAACACTGGAAGGTCCAGAGACAGGGAAGCGAAGTGCATGACGGACCGCGCGTGCTATACCATGAGATCCGCAAACTAATGTAATCCCCGTAAGTTGTACATAATGGGAGGCCAGCGGAATCGGTGCTTACCGCTCACAGACATACGCCCCGAGGCCATGCTAACCTCTTCTTTGAGCAGTGCATCCAGGTCCGATCGACCACTTTCCATCTTGACTCCGCGTAACGACAGTAACATTGACGACGTTAAAGGACTTTTTCTTGTCACAACTTGTTCGAAAGTAACGTTCTTCTCTGTTGGATTTGAAAGGCCGGAAACTTCTTCCATCGACTGTGTCGTTGATGGAGAACCAGTGATAAAGATACGGATGGATACTGTCAAAGAAGGCGGGGCAAGCTGAACAGCCTTGATGAGTGCTTCTTCGATCCATTGAACATACCCTATAACATATGATATTTGTATTGTTCATAGAATGAACTGTGGATGAATCATAAATCTACGCACCAGCCTGGCGTATTGACCAAATGAACACCACTCGTTTGCAGGAGCTTTTCCCCTTGCGTACCTGCCTGTGGAAACAATGAGATATCAATGACGACGATTAAGTTATTTCACGTACTCGATAACGCTCAGCAAGACTGGAAGGGTATACGATATACCAGACCCTCCTGCCTTCGATAAGTCCTGTGTGATTATGAGACGACGCACAGCTCACCTGCCACGAGTACAGACGTGTCGTAAGAACCGAGGTCAGCAGACGGGCCATAAGGACCATCTACAAACACCTTAACTGTGCCCTTCGTAGCAGCTACCTCCTTCAGCTTTTTCGTGAACCCTCCATGTACATTGACCAAAAATACTAGCTCCTTCCAGAGTGAATTGCTTGATCCCAGAACTTGGGTTTCGTAATTTTCACCGCTTCCCAATTGATCCTCGGTTTCTGCGGTTGAGAGCAGACTAGAATCGAAACTCGCGATAGTAAAGGGGTGCGCTTCGAATGGCAGCGTCGAAACCGAGGGCATGATTAGATATGCCGCTTGTCCTGGGGACCAGTGGAAATGCGGGGGTCGACGTAAGCGCACTCGAACGATGTCTTCGGAAAGCATTTCCGTCGTTGCATCCATCGTCCCAGATCCTGACTTGAAGCCAAAGTAAGAGTGATTGAATACAACAAGGCGAACCACTCGGATGAAGCGATCGAGACCCCAGACCACAAACGATGGCCATATCCAGTACGACCCACTGTTCGCTGCAAGTCAGAAACCTAACTGTCTGTATTAATTTCCACTTACAAAATACCATTGGTGTGGAAATATGCTGCCACCAAAAATATCCTGCGTTCTGTCTGTCAACAACAATCAAAAGCGAGTAGAAGTGCTGCACTCACAGGACGCCAATGAAGTGGACGTAAAAGAAGAGCTCATAGAGGTTACTGCGGACGGGACGCAGTGATACTACGATTACAACAGCGAAGGCAATCAGGGCAATGGTACCAGCCTGAACCCAATCGTCGTTCGAAGTTTTCTGGGCGCTGTCGGTAGACTTCATTAGAAAAGTGCAAGCATGAATTGCAGGTACGTACGAGGGATATATCACTTCGCCCACTCCATGTATGCAAAGGAGCATGAAGCACGTCCTAGCCATCATTCGATGAATATAATTGAGCTTCATACCCATGAGTAATTTGCCCTGTCGAGAGTAATTAAGGGTCATACCCTATCATAGCTGATGCCTGTGACCACTGTTGCGAAAAACTCAGTAACATATCGGATTCGTAGCTTTCCACCTACGAGACACGAGATTGTTCTTTGTGCCGAGAGCCGTGACGATGGGAAACTGACTAGACGCCAGAACGGCTATGCGGTTGCTCCAGTAGAAGACATCAAGCTTCTGACCCTCGACTGAGGTGGCTGTGAGATTTAGTTGTTAATGCAGTATCAAAGGGACGCATACGATTCTGCGAGCTTACTGTTAATGAAGGCGTAGGTCAACAGAAGGGCGATGTATGCCATAGTGACGAAAACTTCTGCCATGTTGAGGGTATAAGACTTTCCTATTTCTAGGGTCCACCGGAAAGCAACAACGCGATAGAAATTTATGATCGCGAGCGGGATACGACGGAGTGAAAATTTGTATTGAATGTTATGGATAGGAGCCGTTTCTTCGTCAGACTCATGGTGTCTGCGCCTGGCGAATTTGGAGTGAATGTGTGAGCCCCACTGGAAGCAGCCAACTACGAGGGGAAACACGCCGATGAAAATCCATACTTGTTGAGGGTATTTGTCAAGGTCTTGTGTGACTATGGTTATATCAGCTTTAGAAACTTGAGATGATTCCGAAAACATCCTAAGTTGCAAGGAAGGGAAATGTGTTCCGGCAGAAAGGGAGAGAAGATTGAATTAAATATGAGGACTTCATAGTACCCGACGGTGGCCCAGGCAGTGCGTGTTTACCGTTCAGAACAGCACATGCTGCGACCCTCAGGGAAATTTCCTGACATTAATTATCAAATACGAGTCGCCAAGTAATTACTCGCTCGGCCCACCCCGCCAAGCTTGCTGCGTTGGCCCGAACCGAGGTAGATATGATTATGTAACCTAAATTGGATGATTGGAATCAACCATCTTCAGCTTTGCTGTACTAGTTGTGCTGTAGCAGCTGTTCAGCGCGTTCAATGAGCTAATCAAAACGTCCTGCTAGTACCTCAATAGATGTTGTCATATTGAGCACCATGATGATGCACATGGCACTTTTCCCTTGAGTGGGATCATACCGAGGCCATCAGACGACAGCCGCAGTTCAACTGTCATGTACCCCGGTTCGTCTGCCCTGCCTACTTGTTAGTACTGTTCGATACTAAATCATTAATCAGTGAACTGATTGTCGAGCGAGATCACCGAGCTAACTGCTGCGCAAGCTAGTATACACCGCGCCCTCTTTGCGGCGATGCGCTGCGCTGTCAACAAGCGTCTATTGAGATCTCTGGCTGATCCACTCTACATCGACGAATTCAAACCACTGCGACCTGACGTGATTGTACTATCTTCACACACGGTGTCATGCAACAATTTATCGCAAGGGATGTAAGAATGTTAAAGAATATTTTTCTGTATAAAGCCACTTTCAAATTCACGCCGATACTTGCCAAGAAACACATCAGCTCGGCCCATCCCGTCCCTGATGTGGCTGGACTGCGGCACCATTGACCGTGGCAACACGCACAGTGACAGGAGCGGTGGAGTCACGTGAATTTCTTCCGCAGAATCTTCTCCGCTGATACCGTCGGACTTGGCTAACTCGGACAGCTGTTCCATTGGATATGCGCTACACCCCGTCTCTAAGTTGATTAGGCTCTCAAAGCTTGTGCTCGCCCCCAAACCCTAAAACCCCTACTTCAGTATTTCGGAACTTTTGTTACCACTGTTCTTGTGGTGGTGGTCGTAACCAAAACAAGCTCCCCTCCCTCTGGCACATCAGCAGCGCTTATAGTAGTAGTGCTTGATGTGTCGTCTTCAACACACTCCGGCAAAACGGAGTAACGGGTGTGTTTCATGAAAATGGGCTTCCACAATCTACAACGATGGTACATGGGACTTAATTGAGTGTCCATGAGCTGCACCTGGAGTAAGACAAGAATATCAACTGATTTCTGACACCGATCGAGACTACAGACCCGCACCTTTGTTCCAGGAGCTGAGTTTCCAGTGTCGGCCAGATCAAACATGTAGTGTGTATACGGCCAGCGGATTCTAACTCGCGACATCAAATAAAGCCTGCGACACTCGCTAGAAGGGACGTACTCAATAATTTCAGCGTTTTCGTCGTCCACTTTCACGGTGATAAATTGCCACGCTGTGGGGAAATGCCCCGCAAAGACGGCAGTACCGCAACAGATTTCTTTCACAGAGAGGTGAGTCCCTGTTTGCATATTTCGGATAGTATATCCTGCTCCAGAAGGTGCTATTCCCCACTGGTTTCACAATTGTCCCGTTACTCAGGATATAGAAGAGAAAGGCATAATTACCTTTTGGACAGAATCATCACAAGGTGGAGAGCCTGTTTGAAGGTAAGATATTTTTAAGTCAGAAGCCATTTCAGAGACACTCACCGACGACACATGTGTAGTCGCGTTTATCCAGGGCCATTGCTGTACCGCTCAGGCGGTTTATGAATTTGTAAACTCCTGGCTGCATAACTGTGGCACGATGGAGAGGAGACAAAGAGAACGGACTTGAGAGAGACTCACAGCAAGCTAAGACGTCTTTTAAGGGTTGTGGAGTACACGAGTCTGGACACCCTGACAACTCGTGGTACTGTAGGTCCAAGACGTCAGTCAAACAAATGAAGAACCTTGTTGAGCGTGTATCGATTTATTACGAGTAGATCGGACATGCTTTAGCAGTCTGTTCTATACCGCGCCAAATTGACTCGTGGGTTCTCTCTTATTTCGTTATCTTGAGAAATTCACGTCTTGACCGTGAATCTCTCAGCGATCAAAATTGGTGCGTGTTGATCGACTTGTCTTCATCAGCTCGCTACCTCACTAGCCATTTGTTGCAGTGAGGATTTGAACGACAGTGCATACTCTGCTGCTTCGAGGCATGAATGCTAAGCGCTGAGCTATCAGTCTGCCGGCAGCCGGCCTGATACCCGCTGCCCAGGTATGACCAGAAATGGCTGCCAGCTCGCCCAGTCTGTAGTACATCTTAAGCACGAAACCGTTTATCGGCACGATCACCCCTACTTCTATACCTTTTATATCTGAATGAGATCTGTCTGAACGGTGAGTCGGTGGCATCAGACCAAGCAAAAGGAACCAAGCAAGTGGAATGAGCAAAGGCTAAGCTACTGACAGGCACTACCTAGGTGCCTCGAGGCCTGGACAGGACCCCTGGCACCTCTGAAAGACCCTCGAAACCTCCGAAAGCCCCTAGCTGCCAACCACCTACTGACACAACGGGCAGACACGGGATAATTGAAATGCCATTGACAATCAGGTTTCCTAGAATCACAAGGCAGGTGGAGCTTACAACTGAAGGTCTTGACCCTTCTGAAACGTGCCCGAGCGAACATTTCAATAGTGTTGTAAACATGAAGTTTTAGAAAAAAATCTGCAGTACAGTAGTGTACAACTTGAACGTGCAACAATGCCGCTGATTCGTTCGATGCAGCCTTTTGGATATGTGCTACACCTCGTCTCCAATTTAACTAGGCTCTCGAAGCTTGCGCTCGCCCCCCAAACCATAAAACCCCTAGTTCAGTATTTCGGAACTTTTGTTACCACTGTTTTTGTGGTGGTGGTCGTGACCAAGACGAGCTCCCCTCCCTCTGGCACATCAGCAGCGTTTATAGTAGAAGTGCTTGATGTGTCATCGTCCATACGCTCCGACAAACCAGAGTAAAGGGTGTGTTGCATGAAAATGGGCTTCCACAATCTACAACGATGCTGTACAGCATTTAGTTTAATGTCCATGAGCTGCACCTGGAGCAAGGCAACAATATAAAGTAAATTCCGACGCCGGTCGAGACTATACCGTACCTTTGTTCCAGGAGTAGAGCTTCCCCAGTCAGCCAAATCAAACATGTATTCTGTATGCGGCCAGCGTATTCTGACTCGTGACGTCAAAGCAAGCCTGCGATACTTGCTAGAAAGAGACGTACTCAACCAATTCAGAGTTTTCGTCATCCACTTTCACGTCGATAATTTGCCACGCTGTGGGAAAATGCCCCGCAAAGATGGCAGTACCGCGACTGATTCCTTTCACAGAAAGGTGAGTCCCTGTTTGCATATTTCGGATAGTATATCCTGCTCCAGAAGGTGCTATTTCCCACTGGTTTCACAATTATCCCGTTACTCAGGATGTAGAAGAGAAAGGCACAATTACCTTTTGGACAGAATCATCACATGGTGGAGAGCCTGTATCCAAGAGGTTTGTAGGTGAGATGTTTCCAAGTCAGAAGCCATTTGAGAGACGCTTACCGACGACACACGAGTAGTCATGTTTTTTCAGGGCCATTGCTGTACCGCTCTGGCGATTTATGAATGTGTAAATTCCTGGCTGCATGGCTGTGGCACAATACTTGGAGAGGCGACAAAGATAACGAACTGCAGAGAGGCAAGCACAGCAAGTCTTTTTAAGGGTTCACGTACGTAACTCGTAGCCCCTGAACAACTCGTGATACTGCAAAAAACGTGGTCTATGTCACAGTCAGAACCTTGTTGAGCGTCACCGCGCCACAAAAACAAGTCGTACTGCATTGATTCGTGAGTTCTCAGCTAACACTGACTGAGAAATTCACGTCTTGATCGTGAATCTCTCAAGTTCCAGAAATGGCTGCCAGCTCGGCCATTCCGCAGTACATAAGCACGAAACCGTTTATCGGTGCGGTCATCACGACTTCCATACCTTTTATATCTAAAGGAGATCTATCTGAACAGGCAGACGCAGGACAATTGAAATGCCATCGACAATCAGGTTTCCTAGGATTAGTACAAGTGAAGCTTACAACTGACCCTTCTGAAACGTGCCCGACCAGACATTTCAATAGTGTTGTAAACACGATGTTCTAGAATGAAATCTGCAGGACGTTGGCGAACAACTTGAACGTGCAACAATGCTGCTGATTCACTCCAGCGGGGTCCTTTTCGTCCAGATGCAGCCTCTGCGTCATCGGCTGAGATGAGCTGGATATTATAACAGTGAACATCATATTTACTGGAAGTAGTCAGTCAAGTTCACCTGGGCTCTGGAATCAAGCGTGGGCTGCGACTGACCCCATATGAGAAGTATATAGGGCAGGATGTGCGTGAATCATGATAGCTAGCACCTCCTTGATAGTCCTGAATTGACCCTTGCGCTCACGTTCAAAACACCAGGTGCGACATTATTGTTAAAGATCATATTACAATGGTATCTTGTAGTACAACACACCGGATTTCAATTACTTGCTAGACATCACATACCCAGTCGTATCCAATATTTGTTTGCCGCAGATAGAGCAGAGACCTTTCTTATATGCACAACCTAGGACGGAATGAGCTCCAGGTTTGCCTGATAGTGCTGCGCTACTCACCATGGCAATACTTTGCTTTATTTTGCGTCACAGGCTGCTTACAATCCTTGCATTTGCTTTGATACGGCTGACAACCATTTACTCGCTAAGTACATGCCAAGGGGGGGCCATAACTCACTCACCTGAAACCTGTTCTTCGAGCTCCCAGGTCGGCTTAGTAGCTTGTTCTCGCCTACTCTTCGTGATCCATCCTTTACACTTTGAGATGTGGAGGTGAACGGATCTGGAGCGGCAACCTTGGACAGTTTCTAAAGAAACTTCATGAGACCCACATTCATAAAACATTAACAGTGACATACTGATTCACACTTCTTGCAGACCATGGATGTCCGAGTCGTTGGACAGGATGACCGAGCAAAGGATAGCCTAATGATTAGTAATACATTAGTAATCATGTCCGCCGGTTTCCAACTTATCAGCAAGACCAGGCCTCATTGAGCGCCCTCGGTGACCAGTCTGAGAGTACTAGCTCTAGTTGTCAAATTCACCAAGGCAAGTTACGTCGCTAGAACACCATCCCACGATAGGATGAAATAATAAGTATTCAAAATTTCCAGGGTTACTGATACCGTCTTTCTTTCCAGTTCTAGCCAACTTCGTTATTGTCAACCTATGTTAGATCTTGGCAATATCACAACGATGACACCTCCATTCAATGGTTGACATGGCGAGCGTTGCAAAACTTGATTCGGTCCCGCCACTTCCAACTTGTTCGAACGGAGAAGGCAGTTACTGTCCGAGGGTGTGGTCACATCGTCTGGATGATGGCTTCGTTCTACGTACTGATGTTTTGCGTCAATAAGATTTCTGTTGGCTTGCCCCTTGGATCCTTCTCGACGAAACACACTGTGCGCCTCAATGCTTTTGTCTTTTGGTCACCAGCGTCAAGCACCTCAGGGCGGCCTTGCACTATAAAGACGAAGAACGGGAGGCCACGAACTTTACGAACACCACGTTAATTACCAGCGTGCTGGTCATGTCCCTCTTTAGCCTCTCTAGGGAGCTCCTTTTAATTATTCTAGAAGAGCTCGATCCTATCTCACTACTGCACTTCTGCAAGGTATGATTGCCGGAGATGCTAGTCAACGTGCGTCTGCTTAACGTTTCATTAATAGAGTTCTCGATATATACATATCATCGTCGTAAATTATTCGACGTTGCTATATCGATACGAACTTGCTTTGTCTGGTATGAAGGACGGAATTTCAAGCTCTTATTCACCGCGCGCGCGGCTGGACCCGCTCCTCCACCACAGGAAAGGATGGTTGACTTTAAACTGGACCTCAGAGGACAGGCTCTGTATCACAACGCCAACGATTGTTGGTGTCTCCGGAAGATTCCTTTATCACGCTAGCGAAAGTTCTTACCACGGGATATTCCAGTGGTCACTTCATATCTATGAGCTACGCTCGTACAGGACACCGCCGGTTGCCAAATTACAATATTGCAAATTTAATTTGCCTTTCGAAATCCGCAAGGTTGCCATTGATGCTGTTCAGAATCTTTTGGTGCTTGCAGAACTTCATTTTGCTTCACAGTAAGATGATTACGGCTGGTGTCTCCGTCCATGCTGACCAATACACTAGGGATGGACCCATAACTGCTTCACTTCACTTTCTTGATATGTGGACATGCCAGCAACACCCGCAGGCTCAAAACCTACGTTTTCAATTTCAGACAGACTGGTGGGGCACTTTGCCTCCAGGCCATCGCATTTCTATTGAACGGGTCCAGATCTATGGAATCATGGTCGGTCTGTCTGTGCGTCTTGGAGTTGAGGAAGGTGAAGGGACAACAGAACTTGTTCTAGTCAACTGGCACACTGGCATTGATCAACGACAGCGGGTAATGTGTTCCCCTAGTCCACAAGGGCCCGTCAGGTTCTAAATTGTGACAGTTTACTGGTGACCTCCTCTCGTTCGACATCCTCAGCGAATCGTGCTTGATGGTGCTATCCCATCCTGACGAGGACGAGGACAACGACAGTGGAGAATCTGCCGCTTCTACTTGGGAACGCGGACCAGACGGGTTGTATCTTCACGAACGTGGCAAGCGCTCCCCTCAAATCACTATTCACCATATAGTGGATGGTAGACGATTGTGCTCAGCCCAGGTGATATCATATGATTTACCAGAATCATGGAAGGCAATATCATTTCTGCAAATTTGTCCGAACACGTCTCTCAAGCCCAATGTTACTCCTCCGGCGGGAACTTTCTTCCACTCTGATCCGTCTCAACGTGCAACTGTTATCCTCGTCGAATTCCCCTCCCATTCAATACCGGCAAGATGTTCCAAGAAAGTGGCATTGGTGATGAAGGAATCGCTCTTTCAGCCACCTAGTCTTGGCGATAGGTCTCTATCATGGGAGGAATGGCAGGACCACTGTACGGTGATTCATTTACCAGATGATTCCCATGCCTTCGAGGTTGTGGGGAGAAAACTGGTCTTTTTCCAGAGTGTCGGTGAAGAAAACTTTGTGGCCGATTCCCGAAGTCGCCTTCACGTGCTCGACCTTAACGACCATGCGGCAGAGTGCCTACGATCAATCGCCCCGCGGTCCTCTACTTGGTCGTGGAATGAGAAATGGGCTACTGCCAGTAAAATATTCAAGGCTGGCGCAGCTGAGTTTATTAGAACGAGCACCACTCAAGTGCAAAGCATCACTTGGGTTGATGCCACAGAAGATGCGGTGATCTTATACAACGTACGTATTCCTGCCTTCCGTTTTTACTGGCCCCTGAAATTCGTCACAGGAACGCGACGGTCAAACTGTCATTCGTGTGCTAACCTTCGGGACACCCCAGCATGCCCCTAACGTACCTTAATGTCCATGAGATTTATATCATGATAGCCTGTTACATAACGATCATGCTTATTAGCGCTAATATTATCTCCTACTAATGACTAGTTGTACTCCTAGTATCGAATTTAGGCACGACTGGACTGTACTTCACATTGCAAATCTCGTTACTTCATGCCCATCTCAAGACCATCCAGACTACCCACTTTCGTCTCTCCCTTTCATCCTCACTCTCAGCGCGCGTAACATCCCATGGCCTTTGAACGCCATCCATAACTTCCCTCTCCACCACTCTTTCTACTTGAAGTTTGTGCATCACAACAGCATTCATGAAAGATTGAAGGGTGTATCTTCCTGTGTGTAGACCAGCGACAAGATGTACACGAGCGTCTGGGGTGTGATTGAGACACATGCAAAGCGTGTTGATAAACTGAACGTGGGTCTCAGGATTCCACAGCGTATCAGCTGCGACGATTATATCAAAGAGAGTAGAACCTTCAGGGTTCTGCTGGGCAGGCATGAGGAGTGGGGATGTATCATTGCCCCAAGCGTAAGGGACAGTCCAGCAACGTTCTGAGGCATGATTGCGGCGAACGTTATCAGATAGTGTGCGTATGAGGTTTTCGTCCGGATAATCACTGGCAACAACAACAGCATTTGGCGTAGTCCGTGCGATCATGATCGAAGGCAACCCAGCACTAGCTCCAAGCTCCAAGACACGCAATACTTTTCGATCGCTGAAGCGATCCAGCTGCAGATATTCGATGTGATCTGCAATGTGAAGGGAGGCTTGCCAGATGGATGAAGCATGCAAAGACCAGTTGCTTGCTTGCGTGTCTGGTACCTGAAGGGTGATCTGTCTTAGTGCTGAGTTTCCTCCGTTACGTTTTATCGTGTAAGTAAATATCGATCCGGGGGTTGAGTGGGAGATTGGGGCATAGTCGTAAAGAGTATGGAGAGAAGCAGACATGATATCCTCAGGATCATCCTCTATGATATCCTGGCAGACTCTAGTATTACGCGAATAACACCCTTGTGCAATATGTGTTGAAGGTACCTGCATTGAATCCCGGCGATTTCAAGATGAAAAGAATAAAGCAGTTCAAGATCTTGGTCAAGGACAGGCCAGAATCAAGTCGAGATCTCATACACTTCATTGATGTCACCAACATGTCACGGTGGTCGGGACTGCTCAAGAAGGACAAACCCCTATCAATAATTCAACCATACAATCCTGCAGCGGAGCAAAGATGCTGCATCGACAAGTTCGCCGTGTGGGTGTCCTGCTAAAACGCATACAAATACAAAAAAAAATTATCCATACAATATTATGGAGATTATGTAGCCTTGCATAACCAGAACTACAATCGAACCGAGCGAGGTGAATTGTTGCGCCTGATATGGGGGGGTCGGCAGGAAAAAAATTGGGAAGTTTCGACTTTCGAAAGACTAGTCAATTGTGGGTCTGACGCGTATACCCAGAAGATGACATACCGCCTAGTAGCATGCAACTTAACATTGTATGAATGAATCCATACTTATAACGCAAACGAAAATTCAATAGGAGAAGGAAGAACCGGCGGATAACATTAAGGACATAGATTCTTGTCGATGATATGCATTTGACACGGTTGTCCGTGAGTGGCATCACAGATTAGGTGGAAACCATACGCTGGGGAAAGCACTTGGGACACGTGTCGACAAATCACTTGACGCATATCAAGCGCTAGGTGAGTGTGAGTTTTGAAGGATGTCAAATACACCACGAAAATTTGCAATATAAATTGCCCCACCGTCTTCTGCAGAAAATTCTGCGTCCAGTCACAGCAACATGAAGGCACAACATAGAAGTAACAATGCTCATCTAAGCACGGAATACAAATAATTTTCCATCCCATCCACAGCTTGCAATTAACCCTTCATCATAGAGGGACCAACTACAACCAGCCGCAAACTCCGTATGAGGATCATGGACCTGAAGGAGACTGGATCCCCCTGCGGATGGGTTAGACGACCATCTGCATAAACCCAGACCACTTAGATATGCACGACCTGTTGCAGAAATTCACGTACATCCTACATGTCATGTCATAGCTGGCTGTGGCCAAAATGTCTGGGTGGTGAGGACTCCATTGGACCTTTCGCACTGCATATTCATGACCTGGAAGCTGGACCTCGCAAACGCCACCAATTGTCTGAGCACTCAGGTTGGCGCTCTGAATCATCCGACAATCCCACACCTTCACCATCTTGTCAACGCCAGTGGTTGCCAGCACAAAAGGTCGATACTTATTCCAATCAAGGGAAAGCAACTCAGTGCCAGATGCAGGGACGGTCAGGACTGCATTAGATAAGGGGTGTGTGAAGGAATTTGTGGCGGGGCCGGTGGCATAAGCGGGGGAACGAAGATCGAATATTTTCATAGTTCCATCCGTCGAACATGTGGCAAGGATATCTGGTTGATGAGGAGAGAAGAGAGCTTGGTACACGCATGACAGGTGTGCATGCAGTGTTGTCACTGAACGAGGTAATTCTGGTGTCCACTACAAAATATTCTCTGTAAGCCGAATTCAGTACGAGACACTCGATGTAGCTACCAGTTTGACATTTCCATCCCACGAGGAGGACGCAAACGTGTCTTTCTTGATATTCGACCAATCGACGGAGAAAACTTCACGACTGTGCTCATGCCAAGAGCGTATTGGAAAGTCCTAGACATGAAAAACGACTTTGATCTACACAGATCTGAAAATGAGTTGATATTGGCGTACATTCAGCAATATGTCCCATAGTTTCAGCGTTCCATCTCCTGAGCCTGTAACCAGTTGATTCTCGTGAATCTCTGACCATGCAACGTCGTATATTCCATCCTGGGTCTCGTATCTTGATAGAAAGATAAGCACCAGCTTATTAGTCGAGTCGACAGACAGACTGTTTATCAAGTTTCACCGCAGACGAGCCACCGACTCCTGGAATTAGCGATACCATGTGCAGGCGACCATTACCCACAAGACCAAAATTGGCAGCTGAAGCAAGTGCGATGCGAGAATTGTGAAAAGGGGACCATGCCACAGAGTAATGGGCAAATCCTGGCGTCTGCAGCACAGCAGGAGGTGGTCGAGCAGGATTCATTTCGTCGAGGTGATCAAGAAACAAGTTGTATATTCTTGTATATCCATCCGGCTATTACGGCTACTTCGGATTCCCGCAGGAAACTAACTTGAACAAAACTGACATTATGCGTATCTCAGTACCAACCATTGTCGGCGGCTCTGGAGCACCAAGACGAACAATTTCACCAGCTGCGGCGGTTGAACGTATCGCAGAATTCCTTGCGCCAGGAAAAGTGACGCTACTTACCGGTGCAGGCGTTAGCGTTGCTTCGGGGATTAGAGCATATCGGGGAAAAGACGGTAGATATATGAACCCCAATTACAAGTGAGTTCGTCATGCGAAGCCAGGAACCACGCTAATTGTTTCTTTCTGATTATGACATAGACCGATTTTTGTACGCGCTTTTAAGTTGCTTCAGGCACAGAACGTTTCCAATTGACGAGCGCCTTAGTATCACGAACTAACCGACGAGAGTGAAAAGGGTTTTGTTTTCAGGCAAGTTGATTAATCCCCCTCATGTTACACGGCTTCTGAACTGATCAAACAGGCAACGGTATTGGTATGAAATCAAATCATGTGGTCAGTCCGTCAGGTTGATGTTTGGTAGGCTTCGATCATACTTGGGCTACCCCTCTGTCCGGGACGCTCTGCCTAATACCAGCCACTATGCAATTGCCGCACTCCAATATGCATCATACTTACCTCGTCTCGTGACGCAAAATGTAGATGGGTTACACCACAAAGCGATTGCGCACCTTTGGGAGCCGGATCATACCCGAAAGCAAATACTTGAACTCCACGGAACCCTCCATGTACGTTTCTGGGCCATTCTGGATGCATCCGCTTTCCGGTGTTTCAGCGAACAATAAACCCATCGTTTCACTTGCAGCGAGTACATTGCAAGCGCGGTCATGTAGTCCCCCGAGACGTGTTCCAAGATTGGCTTTCTGCTTCTAATCCGCAATGGAAGGCATTCGTTGATAATCTAGATAAGACCGGGAGCAAACTACGCACGAATCCTGACGGTGATGTTCGTCCGTCGTTTGCAGACCAATTTTGATGATTGATTTCTCTTGAAGGTGGAATTGGAAGGCGTTTCCTATACCGATTTCGTGGTCCCAGAGTGTCCGCAGTGTACATTGGATGGTCAACAGAGCTCTTTCGTAAGAGGCAGCTTGATTGCCATGTCTCTTGGGTCTCTGATGCAAATAGTACAAACCAGAGCTGATATTCTTTGGTGAATCGATACCAAGTCGGATTAAGGACCGTTCGTAAGTTGGGCATTTTTTGTTTCCCCGTGTTGGAGTAGTGACCCCAACGCAGGTTTCATGATATTGAACAGTCTGAAAGGGTTTTCGTCCTCGGCACCACACTGGCGACGTATTCCGCATTCAGGTGCTTGCAATTGTCCGATATCCTGACATGACTATGACACTGATGACATTGTGCCCCAAGGCTGGTAAAACACGCGTTAGAGCTGCGAAAACCAGTCATGTTGCTGAATGTAGGGCCAACGAGGGCTGACGAACTTCCAGGTGTGGAGAAACTTGAGATATCGAGTTCCCTGGTGTTGCGAGACGTAGTGCGAGCCATCCTGTGAGATGGTCATGTCTAGAAAAAAAAGATACTGATAATTATACAGGGGTTCTCGTGCAAGCCAGGATTCTGCGATAGTTCATCTTCTCCAGAGCGGCATTCACCAGCCACCCGCACCAGACCACGAAATCGTATCAAGAAATACTTAGACGTGGATAAGAGATGGTATCCATAATAATAGTAGTGAAGATCATAGAATGCGTAGATTAATGCTGGCTACTGTGGTATGCTGGTATGGGCAAATGTGGTAGCTAGTTATATGCATGTGGTAAAGTACTAGCGATGCAAATGGAGACAACAAAGCAAAAATGAGAACACCTATACCAAATAGATGCAATACAAAAACGTAAATGATTTTAGGAGTGGTCTTGAGGATGCGTGCTTGGCTGGAGGGAGAGAGTTGGAGTTGAGCCGCGCTCTATTATGGTCACTCGAGGAGGCTCGTCGTCGTCGCCATCATCTTCATGCATAGGATTGGTATTTACCAACCAGGTTGGAAGTCTCAAATCAGACCACGACCAAGATTGCCAGGGTCCATGATCTACCAGAGGCAAGTCCTAAAGGACTTGCGTTTAGATCTTCCCTGTGTAACAAAAAAATAATTGACGTACAACAACTTTAGTTGAGGTATCGACGACCACCTCCTCCGGATCAGGCGAAGACGAGCTTTCTTTGAAAACGGCAGGAGTTCCCCGTTGATCGTCATTGGGAGTCAAAGGAGGTGGTGGTGTGAGATTGTCGGCGTCTGTGTTAGACGATGAAGCAGGGGAGGCTTTTTCGACCATGATCTGACGGGTCACATGAATTCCACCAAATAAAACAGGGCTATCGAAGCGACTCACTGTTTCCCTCAATGGACGACTGGTGGCACGGGTACCCCCGACTGGCTTCTTTAAACAACGTTCGCGGTGTTTCAGCCAATGGAAGGGATCATACAGACTCTTCGGGGATAGTTTTATACGATTTCCGCAGCGTTTGCAGGTGACAAAGAGTGGGCCAAGAACCTCTGCCATCGGGTCGTCACGTAGCCTTTTCTCTCTCGCAATTTCGCCTACAGTTCGGCGAGGCGCATCTCCGCTGCTCAAAGCAGCTGGATGAATATGTAGCTAATCGGAGACGACAGAGATGCTTACTCATGGATGCCTTTTAGACTAGAATCTTTCCTCGACGACCCCCTGCGGGAGTGGCACGAATAGAATGAGCAACAATAACATCGGTTAGCGATAAATACCCACATGACTTTGATGGCAGGGGGATGAGACAGTGCAGTGGGGGGAGAAACTTATTTTCAGCGGGTATGAATGTCCAATTTTCTAGAGTGTGGAATGAGCTTTATCGGTCTGGACGTGGTGGTGGCCACTGACCTGTAGTCCAATTCCGTGGGGGGGAAATTTGGAAGTGTATGCCGAAGAGCTGCGTGCACTTTACGCGCCAATACAAAAACCTCTATATCTCAACGGTTTAGTTGTATATGCGCGACAGTCAGGCGTAAGAGCGAACGTCACGGGAAGAAAGTGGAGAGCGGGGACACACTTCGGAAATTTCCGTCAACTTACATGCATGCTCGTTCGCGCGTGTTTACATTTACTCCAAGTGTCCAGGGGAATAGTTGAATGGCATTATAAAGAAAACAAAGCACAATAGATAGAGCGGGGTACAATACAATCAACACAACTCGCACAACACACTAGTATCAACATTTACGTAGATGGAGTGCCTAAACCTTCACGGAAACCACGCACGAAAGCTTTAAGAGGTTGTATAAACCAACCCCACGGACTTGGCGCCTCATTCTCGGGCACTTGGTAGGCCACGGTTCTCGGACGATTCATAGGACGGTCTTCTCCAGCGTCTTCTTCGTCCCGGGCACGTTTCTCCCCAATGCGATACGGGGAGTTGTCATTGATGGCTATGGCGTCTGTAGGCGCTGAACTCGAGGATGTAGGGGGTTTGTGTACCTCGTTGATAGGCGTTTGAGTGATAGCCTGACTAGATGGTGGAGGGAAAACGCGCGAAAGTCGAGAACCAAGAGGCTTTGGAGTGAGTTGAACAGTATGACTACAGCCACTATTACTTATAAGAACACTGATAAAATGATATTCACTTACGAAGAACACTTTGCTTTGTGCTCGTGCCACTTGGTCAAATCATACTGAGCGACGCCATCCAGCTCGACAGTTGTCCTGCAAAAAGCACACTCGACATGTCGAGCGGAGGACGACTTCGCTTGAGGGTCAGTCAGCAGACTATATTTTCTCTCCGCGGTAGCCACTCGGCTGCTGGGTCTGATTAAATCATTAGTTAGCAAAAGTATGGTAAAATCCAGAAAAGAAAGAATCACTCACACGACACCTGAACATCGTTGTTGATGTGCGTGCCAATTTCCAAGAACGTAGGCATGATCGATCGACAGCTTGATCCATTTCTGGCAGGATCGACAAAGAATTTCGTGAGGCTTGACCTCTTGAGCACGAGGATCCTCTTCCAGTAAAGCTTTCCTTTCGACGTCATCCTGCCGAGCCGACTGAGGTGAAGACTGTTTAGTAATCTCCTGACTCAATTCTGATACCGAAACATCTCCTTCGGGTTTTTCCACTTCGGTCTCGTCTCGGTGGCTCCTGTTCGGATAAGTAGTGTTTAATTTTCGGTGTGAAATGTACTAACTTCTTCGAAACAGGGGACCGTGGGTCACATTTCCGTCGATGGATCTCCCAAGGACGAACAGCATACGTCTGTCTTCTACCAAGGTTGATCCATTTGTCGCATCGAGCGCAATGCACTCGGTGCGGTTCCATATCATCACATTGTGACTGGTCTTTGAAATACTGAATACGCTCGGATTCAGACCGGCGTATTCGACCTCCGGCAGATGATTCTGCAATGGACGAGGTCTCATCTGCATCGTCGTCAGGGGTATCAGGACACCTGGTTATCCAGTGTGGTGAGTGACCATTACGCGCCAAGGAACCCGAGATACGTACTTGGCTTTGGATGCGGGGGAACTCTTATCTGATGATTTCGCACGAACAGAAAGGACGGAGGGGCTCTCATGACGGATGGGGCGACTCAAGGATACCACTGATGAAGTGCGACTACGGGATCCCCTGGCTTTGCTGAGAGGTTTTGCAGAAAGCACCTGGGTTTCTTGGGAATTGCGGGGGGATTGTGGTGGCGAAGGTCCAGGGAGACTAAATAGCATATACAGATAATCATGAATCATAGATGCACAGTTTTATACTCTGAACTCACAGAACCTCGACTATTTTGGGGGCAGCTTTCGGTTCAGACGGCTAATCCATCGTTAATTGACAAGCCAAGCGTAGAGAAACCAGCTTACGGGTGATTCTTGGGGGTCACTAGTTCCGATACTTTGATGCGTGTCCGATTCTTCATCTGACCTGTCTCTGTCGAAGCGTAAGGTGATTTAACGCGTCTAATATGTTTTGTGGCGTACTCCGCAATGTTTGGAACACTTCTTTTCTTCTGAAAAGGCTCGTCAGAGAACTATTCGCGTGGTGTCGCGTGAAATTACGCGCTGACCTTGGCCTTGCCAGCGTGTTTGATCTTGGATGATTCAACCTTTGGTCTAAGTGTCATGTCAGCGGGAAACGTATGAAGTGCCTATATTTTTGAAAACAACCTCTCCGGGGATGAATTCACACTATCGCTCATGGTGAAAGAATGTATCGGGTCAGCTCAAAAAGAAAAAGAAATATACGGGACAAGGACAATGAACTCTACGTGGTGGTATCACTGAAAGGTTCGGTGCCAAGCATGTACAAATAAAGTCAACATCAACAAGGGAAATCCCCCATTTGGTTTGCCTTCGATAAGAATGAATTCTAGAAGCTTGCCCCAGAGAAACGAGTCGAAGGCATTAGAGCTTACAGAACTACAGTACGATATTCTAGGTATCGCTTTGAAAAGCGAGGCTAAAATTACAACCATCTTGCTCCAAGCAAAAGTCCAAAATTTACAACGTACGTATTTACCCCCCCGACTTCGAAAAGTCACTTGGACCCGTAAGCAATGGGTCGTACCGTTCTGAAGAGATGTTTGATTGAGGGCCATTGATAGGAGAGTCGACTATAGGATAAAAAGATCCAACAGGACGAGGTAGCGCAGGTACGTGTAAGGACCCAATCTCATGGTTTGATTGAGCTAGTAAATGGTATGGTATGGGACCATAGACTTGATTGGGGAACGGCAGAGGTGCCATCATCATGGAGGACTGTTGAACTTGAATTGGGGTTGGATGGGGAGGCTGCATACTCCCCATCGCAACCACTGCTGAAGATCATGATCATGAGGTATGAGGTAACGTTTTATTGGATGTTTGCGTACCATCACTATCCGATCCTTCACCGAGATGTGGGCATCCGCCACTAACACCTTGCTGAGTGCAGATTTGACAGATGCGATCAAGGCACTGATACCCCTTACGCACGCAATGTAGGCATGGCCTAACGGTTGTCAACCAATGCGAAACCATCCGCATCAAGGCCACCTACCTCACACCTTCACACCGCACCTTATCACGTCTATGCAGTTGTCGAAGTGATGTTCTAGATCGTAGTTGATGACTTACCTGCAATACACACAAGCCTGAAAAGATAGCGTCAGAAGAAGTATACTTATTCCAATCAAAGACTGACCGCCTTGACACGGGTACCATGACCTCTGCCCTTCCTCTGAACACTGATACACTCCTTGCCACATTCAACACATTGCCTACATGGACGTGCATCCTCGCATTTCTTATTTTCTTGCCTGCAACCCTCGCAACGAAGTTTAACAAGTTTGGGTCCCTTTCCCACATGAACACACTCTTCCCCGCGTGCAATGCATCGAGTGCAAGGTCGCTGATCATCACACTAGACGTAGGGTATGTCAAAATCGCATCCACGACCACAGCACAAGCTTACCTTCTTATTATCCCGACGACAGTTCTGGCAAGCCAGTTTTGCACGATCGGGCTTTGAGCGATGTGGCCCGCGGAGAACTAAGACGGGAGGAGGTTCTGCACGCAATACCGGGTGGTGATGGCCTTCGGTGCACTCTACCTGATCCTCTCGGCACCTGAGGCAAGGCTTTCCGCCTTCACAGCGCGCGCGAGCCTTTCGACAGTTCTCACACCCAGCAACACACTGTTCAATAGTGTAACCTTTCTTAACGCAGCCTCCACAAGGCCTAGTTGATCACGAGGATATCAATTCATGAATTAAAGGAGATTTAAATCAGAGTAGAGGCAAAGCCTACTTTTGACCATCGCAGCGTATTTTGTCACGCCTGCAGGGGAAGAAGATTAGGACACGAGGAGTGCCCCTCAATCACGAGATCATTACCTGCAACTAGCACATGCCTAGCGATATTCTTGATAAGCTAACATTAAAAGGTAGCGTGAACGTTAAGCACAAACCTTGACTGCTCTTCTTGGCCACGCTGTCGTGATGATGTCGGATATCGGGACTGGCGGCGGCTGCTGCTGGGAATCCATCGGTCTGCAGGATGTGGTCAGTTAACAAAAGAGGTGTGTGAACATATCCCCTTTTCGAACAAACGAGGTTGGACCATTACGTAAGTGGCTTATCTATCACCGTGACACCGTCTCTGACAGGAAACAGTATAACATAATAGTAAATACTACCAATAGGGTCCATTGTATTTAGGATGATTATACAGATGGGCCCGATCAACGCAGTTCTCCAAATTCCTCTAAATGCCAAACAAAAAAGTGTCATATACAAACAGAGAACGATACTGTCAAAGAAAAGAAAAGAAGGACGTTTTGAGACAGATGACGCTCCAGAGTAGCAAAGCAGGGGAAAAATAAAGGATTGAAGCCAGGTGTTTACTGGTAGACGGCGACGTAGTTGATGACCCACTTGGCATCTACAACGGAGCAATGAGCATTGCGGAACGAATAAGCATCCAGCCGAAACTTACCGACATAGTTACTAGCATCGGCGACCATATCCGTGCACGTTCCTGAGCATCCAGATTGCGAGTATGCACCACCTGCCCAATTGCCACAGATAGTAGTGTCGATGACCATCTGGTGTTCATAGAAGTTGTCTGCTATGTCACAGGTTTGTGCAGACCAAAAACCAGACGGAGTGCCCCAATTGGAAGGCGTAGGTGCTTGGGATGTGAGATCAGCAGGGATGTCAGACCGAGCGAAGTGCCACATTGACAAGCCAACGGAATTTTCCCACAGAAGAGCAAAGACACCGCCCCCTGCATTGTTGAAGCCATCCGCAAAAGACCTGCCCCGGGGACCGTTAGGTTGGAATTGACGAACAAGAAAGAAATACAAACGTTGAGCTACTATCCATGATGCTGCAACCCGCATCCGAGGACTCAGTGCTGTAGCAGTTGCTCGCGAGGACAGAACCTGTATATTCATCCGAATCATTCGTATCAATGGTGCAGGTGTAATTTGTGCCACTATGAACTGTCATCTGATTTTGCGCCTGGTTATTAATACCTTCGACAATGTCAATTTCACCCCCATATGGCCAGTTCGGTCCAACGGTCCAGAAACTAGGCCATACAGAACAGCCGACAGGCATTTGGGACGCGTCCAAGACAAAGAGACCGCCACTGTAGCTCGTCTGAGATGAGATACGAACACTGTGACTGTGGTGAGGCGTATATAATATCAATAAACACGGTCTTTGCGCACGCGTCACGATCGCCGCCGGCAGCAACAGTGCTGGTTGAATCAATTGCCAGGACAATTGAGGACGAGGAAGAGGAGGAAGAGGAGTGGCTGTCGGTGTCACCGTTATCGTTTTCATTGTCATTATCATTGTCAGAGTCGCCATTGACATATGCAAGTCCCTTAGACTGTGCGTCTGATTTGCTTTGGTAGATGACATTCCCACCAGTGGGGTCCGAGCCAGTGTAGAAGTCCCAGTCACTAGATGGGTAGAAGACCATTAGCCGAGTTGTAAGTTAAAAAATGGCTAACACACTCGAAGAAATCACTGCCCTGATAATAGTCTTTAACGGAGTAGGCAGTGGTACGGCTGTAACGCAAGGGCGAGTATTGACGAGCACCAACCAGAATGGTCAATGGGAGTGTCGCTAGACAGACTTTATAGAAAGAACGCATCGTGCGACGTGATGCAAACAAGAGGAAAGCGCAAGTAGTCCTAAAAAAACAGCAGGAGGGAGGGAAGTAATGCAATACCGATAGTAACGTTGGCCATCGGGTTTTATTGTACTCGACATGGAAAATGACGTTCACCCACCTCGTTGATTCGGGCAGTACTCCATTACCTCGCCCCAGCTAGCCTCTCCTAACCAGGCGAACCGATCATTCGTCGTTCCTTCGTATTCGCGTTGGTCACCGAAGTTCAGAACCGCACCTCATTGTGGCCCTGATTGATCTTATTTTATCCTCAATGCAACCACCACTCTTTGTACTCTGGGAGTTGCTTGGCCTTCCCTCCTCGTCTACCTTAGTCAATGCGACTTCATCGGCCACAATGGCGACCCTGTAAATGACAAGAGTCAAAACATGCATAGCTGAAACTGAAGTACTGGCCGAAAGAGTATCGTCGTCAAGCGCTATCCCCGCCGCGCCACAGTAGCTCGAATAAGACAGCTTTATACCCCCCTAAAGTCCGGACTGTGTTCATCAGGTCGGGACATCAAAGGATGGGTAAGGCGTCAATTCCTTTTGAACGTTGACATGCAAATAACTCACTGCTTCCATTGTATGGTACATTCCGGTGTCGTATATGTTACTAACTCGCATTTTAGTGGTTAATATTCGAATTGCCGAGACTCACATGATCTCACAAATTCTGCAGCTTCTGCCGCATCTGCCATACTGGTTGGCAGAGCGGCAGCAAGAATAAGATCTAGAAGCTGGAAGGAAGCGAACAGCGAATTCAACGTACGTGATAATCGTAATAGGAGACTCGGTTATATTCCAGTCGCATCAAGCGAATATGCCCCGAGAATATCGTTGTGTGCAAGCGCCAACTCAAACTAGTAATGCATTCCTTTTTGTCGAGCTCCAAGAGTCGGCAAATACCTTGAAATCAACCCGAAGAACGTGCATGACATGGACATTAGGGATGTATGTTCAGGTGGTAATGAGCTGTCCAGTACGGCTGACCCTTAAAGGATCCCCCGCCACGCACAATGGCGACGAGACAGGTTAGATGTGGCTCCATAATCAATCCCCATGCACAAGCACTTTTCAATTCTGCAGCCTGGAAAACCTCTCATTTGAGCGGGTTCAAGCGTAAACAAGTCCAGATCCGTTCTAGCATGGATCTGTGCAACAACTGAGGGTGACTGGCGAGAGGGCAATGTTTTGACAGCATTGAAAGTAGTCGAGCCTTGAAGGGCACTATCCAGGTTGATGGACATTGGTCAGAGTAACGGAAACGGAAAGAAACGGTTCACGAACCAATCATATCAATGCAGGGTGTCTGAAATTCGAAGTGCGTGCAGTCAAGGTGAACCAACCGTTGTAGAATGGCGCGGATCATCGAAGGAGGTCAATTCTAAGTGACAATCGAGTGGGGTTTGGTCACTGCGTGCGCGCTGGGATGAAGGACTTGGAGGACTTTTCCTCGTTTTCACGTAGATCTCACAAACCCATAGCACGTGCAACTTCTTGAAGTAAGGTGACTACGAAGCAGTGATTATGGAGATGAGAGGATCATCCTGATAGACACATCAGCAAAAACCACTGGCTTGTTTGCACGATGAGAAAGAGAAACATCCAGCCTTCAGCGCTTCAGCTCTAGGGTGATGCAGATCAGTTACACTGTCCAGGATCCAGGTTCAATCAAAAGTTCAAAGTTTGGGTTTTGGAAATAGTACTATAGTCTCCGAAAAAAAAACTCAGCATCACGTGCATGTTGTGAACGCGTCGCGCAAACAGTCGTGTACTTTCCGAACGCGCCACCATCACGTGGATATAATGCTGCAAAAACCTCTGTAGCCTGCTTCTTATAATCGTAAGACTCAACAGTCTGACTTCTTGTGAAGTTGTCTCCAGGGATCTATCATCGTGGTTTGCCTGGTGCCATGCGGGACGCTGGCACTGGATGTGCCAGATGCGCCATTCTTTCATTGATCAGGTGTTTTTACCAATGTACTGCCGTGGATAGAAGCTGCGTAATATAAGCCCCTTATCGAAGCTATCGATATCGCGCTTGTTGGATATAATATTTGCATGCTGCTTCACGCGACTTGAACATCATCGATGCATCATCTGTCAGCAGAATGATAAGCTTATGTTCCGAGACCACCAGAACAACATCGATACACAAACATCAGAAACAAGTCAAGCATCCACGCTTCAACGGGCTTCTATTTCCTGTCCCCCGAGGTTTCATGTACTTAATGGATTAAATAAAACGAGTTATAATAGTCCGAGCTGAGATATTCAGCAATGTCCAATATAGTCCGGACCCTGCCCGAACCGACAGTCAAACGCAAATAAACGGTCGAGGCAAATAGTCACTGATAGACAGCGACGTAGTTGATGACCCACTTAGCATCTACAACAGAACACTGAGGAATGCGGAGCGATTAAGCATTGAGCGGAAACTTACCAACGTAGTTGCTAGCATTAGCAACCATATCCGTGCACGTTCCTGGGCATCCAGATTGCGAGTAGGCACCACCTGCCCAGTTGCCGCAGATGGTAGTGTCGATGACCATCTGGTGGTCGTAGAAGTTGTCTGTTATGTCGCAGGTTTGTGCAGACCAGAAACCAGAAGGAGTGCCCCAATTGGAAGGCGTAGGTGCTCGGGCCGTGAGGTCATCGGGGATGTCAGCCCGAGCGAAGTGCCACATCGACATGCCAGTGGAATTATCCCACAGAAGCGCAAAGACCCCGCCCCCCGCATTGTTAAAGCCATACGCAAAAGACCTGCCCCAGGACCGTTAGGTTGCGATTAATGCACATAAGAGACACAAACGTTGAGCTACTATCCATGATGCTGCAGCCTGAGTCTGAGGTCTCAGTGCTGTAACAGTTGCTCGAGAGGACAGAGCCTGTGAACTCATTAGAATCATCCGTATCAATGGTGCAGGAGTGGCTTGTGCCACTATGAAGTGTCATCTGATTTTTCGCCTGGTCATTGATACCCTCGACAATGTCAATTTCACCCCCATATGGCCAGTTTGGTCCAACGGTCCAAAAGCTAGGCCATGTAGAACAGCCGACAGGCATTTTGGAGGCATCCAAGATAAAGAGACCGCCGTTATAACTGTTTTGTGATGTGATACGAACACTGCAACTGCGGTGAGGCGCATATAATATAGATAAACACGATCTTTACGCACGCATCACGATCGCCGCCAGCGGCAACAGTGCTGGTTGAATCAACTGCAAGGACTGTCGTGCCATCGGATTTGACATATGCAAGTCTCTCAGACTGTGCGGCCGACTTGTTTTGGTAGATGACATTTCCACCGGTGGGGTCTGAGCCAGTATAGAAGTCCCAGTCACTATGTAGATGGAAGATCATTAGCTGCGTTACAAGTTGAAACTATGTAAGTGGTACGTACTTGAAGAAATCTTCGCCGTGGTAATAGTCTTGGACCGTGTAGGTTCCGTCAGTTGACAGTCTACCAACAGTAATAGGGCGGTGACGTGAGTACGAGCGAGCACCGACCAGGGTGATCAATGGGAAAGCTGCTAGAAAGAGTCTATGGAAAGAACACATCGCACAGTCACGGTGTAAATGAGGGAAGCTCTGCAGTCGTCCGAAGCAATGAAGCAGTAAGTGAAATAGAAGGGAGAAAGTCAATGGAACGTTGATAATAACGTCGGCCACGGGGTTTTATTGTGCTTTTGACATCAAAAATGACGCCCACAACCTCGTTGCTTCATGGTTGCACCATTACCTCACTTTGGCTAGTGCCCCAGACTATAAGCAAACCAATCGAAAGAAGATCAATCGTTCCTTTGTATTCGCGTCCGACAGTCATCTTCGCGGGCCTGATTGATCTCAGCGCCTTATCTCAATCCAACCGTCACTCTTTGTATCTTGGAAATGATCACTCTCCTTGTCGATATTTGCATTTGATAGATTGCAATTGCAACACTGTAAACAACAGGAGTCAAGATTCATGGCTAAAATGGTGGCTGAAAGAATTTCTTACTTAGCTCAAGCGCTATAGAGCGGCGCTAGATTATTCCAAATTAGCCGGTTTTTTAAACAGTCCGAGCTAGGTCGATCAGGGAAGGAGTGAGGCGCGAATACCATGGAATTGATGTTGAACAAAATTAGCCTCCAAAGACCGCACTGCGTCTACTGTGCGGCGCGTTTTGGCAACGTACGATATGGTCCTATTTCGCCTTTTAGTCGGCTGATTTTGAATTGTCGAGACGCACGTTATAAGTATCATCGTGACAGGTTCTGCGACTCGGATGCAGCACTCTGCCGTATCTGCTTGGCAGAGCCATCAAACCAGTTGAGAGAGCGGCAGCTTTCTGCCAACAGCTCAAAGGGTTGAATCATCGGAACCGAACAGTAAACGGACGTGATGATCGTAACGACGACAATTGTCAATATTGAGGGACAGAACGTCGCTATGGGAGACTCGACTATGTTTAAATATGTATCTCCAAGTGGCGGGTTGTATGTTGTAGCGGCAGTTCATGAATCACTTCTCTCGTACTCCGATATTCGGGGAATGGTCTGAAAATTAACGTTGAAAACGCGCGAGGCAGTCGCATCATGATCCTCCTTTCGAATTGTGGTCGATGACGAAGTCAACGAGGGTACCTGGGTACCGAGATGTCCCAGTGAACATGAAAACGGATGTAGGTTCCACCGTTCCAGTGATGAACGAATCGGTGCAACGACTAATGGCCGAGGAGGTGAGATTTCGACAGTGTTGAAATTATTCAAGCCGTGCAGGGCGTGGGGTAAGGTGGGATAAAAAGGTCGACAAATATCGGTGTTTGAGGAGTCCTACAATTGTGGACAATGAAGTTACGAACAGAATTCTTTTCGAATTCAAGACTGTGACGTTTGTTCGTCACCGGCGCTACGGCGGCTACGCATAGGCCAGGGCTGAGGGGATGAAGGCATCGGAGTTCTTCTCGTTCTCATGTAGCTCTGAAAATCTCAC